GGTACAAGGGAGACGAAGATGTGGAGGGCCATGATCGCCTACATCCTGAAGGAACATGACACATAAAAGAAGAAAAATCCCTGACTCACTAGATAAGCACGCTCGCTTTTATAGCCTTAAACCTTTACAGGAACAATAATCTATAAAGCAAGCAGATCTTTTTCCGTGACTCACCTTATATTTGATCCAGGATGCAGATAGTAAATATAGTATTTATCAAAGTCTCAACGAGATTAAGAGCGTGCTACGTGACTCTCGTCTTAACTAAGTTAGGGTCAGTTCGGACACTGGCTTAATTTTAAATATTAACCAATTGATAGGACGCTCACAAAGTCAGATAAAAGGAAATTGGATGGAAGGATATCTGTGTGCGAAAACAACGAAGGAGGCAAATATAACATGAATTAAAACGATTAAACATTATTTCCAGTAAAACTTGTTTTAGTTTCTGATCCCTCACAATCTGTTTTTCCAGATTTTCTATAGAAATCCAATATTTTTATATCGTAAGATTATTTGTGGCATTTACAATATATTTTTTTCCAGATTTTCTATTGAAAAATCAATATTTTAAATCGGAAAATAATCTCCATCTCCCACAATCCATTTTTCTAAAAAAATCAATATTCTAATTATTTCCGACCCTAAAAAACATTTTTTTTCTGAAGGAAAATCAATATTTCATACCGTAAAATTATGTACAATCCGCAGAGTCTGTTTCTGTACTGTCTATAAAAAATCAATGTCTTATCTTAGAATTTTTCAGGATTTTCTGCAGAAAATTAGTGGTTCATATCGTAAATTAATTGTTAACTCTCATTCCCAGTCAATTTTCTTTATTTTTATAATGAAATATCAGTATTTTATATATCGTAAGATTATCTCCCTCCCCACAATTTATTTTTTATCTGAATTTTCAAATATATATATATATATATATATATATATATATATTATGGGGTCCACACCTTTTTCATAAAAGTGGACTCGACCAGTGTGTACTACTGCCGGTGAATACCCGGAAGTCGGTGAGAGCGTGAGGTAACCGCTTTGTAGGAGTCACAGTTGCGAGCACGTAGACTCAGAAGGAAGTCATACATCGATACTGAATTTCCCAGACTGTATATATATTATTATTGCTACTAACCGCATTTCTGGATCTACTAACCGTATTCCCAATTGTATTATTACGTCAATACATTTATTTGCTATATTTCATTCCTGCGTTTGTCATTCATTGGAGACCGGATTTCATCTCGAATCCACAACAATATATATATATATATATATATATATATATATATATATATATATATATATATATATGTTTCATATCGAAAATTGTTTCCAACCCTCACAGGCCGATTTTCAATATTTTCTATAGAAAAAAAACAACAATTTTAACATAGTAAAATCATTTGCGACATAGAAGATAGTAATATACATTATAATCATATGATATCTGTAACATTTGTCTTATCTTTGACCACTGGTGATATGTATTTCCTGATTTTCAATGAATGCTGTAAGACAAACCTTAATTTCCAAAATTCAAAATTCGATTTATAAACATTTTTTGTCTTAGAACAGAAACATTTACTTTTTTCCGCCAAAGTCTATCTTACACATTTATAAATCTACCATTTGTCTATGCATTGAATATTGCCACCACATCTGGTCTAGTGATTCTGCAATGCATTCATAGATTCTTGATAAAATCCAGAGAAGTATCTGCAATGTTGTCGGTCTTGACCTTGCATCTTGACTTCATTCACTTTCGCAGAGTGGTAACGAAGCTTCCATGTGGCTTTTCTGTAAATATTTTCACGATAATTATTCTGATGAGGTTTCCTCTTTCGTACCTTGACGTTAAAAATTTAAACGCAGTGCTAAATTGGCAGCAAGGTCTCATTCTTTTGCAGTTGAAATTGTTTGATATAACCATAAGTTTTTATGCTAACAATTTCTTCTCCCGCATTTCTCGCTTGTGAAACTCTCTTCTGGTTTCTTGCTTTGCAGTCAACTTTGATCTTCAAAAATTTAAATGCAATATTAATCATCATCCGCTGTTTTCTTAATTTTTATTCTTTTATTGTCCTCTCTCTATAATAGCGTTTTCTCGGGTTCTTTCCCACTTAGTAACCCCCTTGTGTCTTAGTTTTATCGCCTTGCTTGGGGTGAAATGATTGAAATTTTCTGCAGAAAATTAGTAGTTCATATCGTAAATTATTTGTTAACTCTCACTCCCAGTCAATTTTCTTTATTTTTTAATGAAATATCAGTATTTTATATATTATACAAATGGTAGATTTATAAAAGTGTAAGATAGATTTTGGTGGGAAAAAAGTAAATTTTTATATTCTAAGACAAAAAATGTTTATAAATCGAATGTCTAGTATTTGTGTACCGATTGAAGACACGTTTGACAATGTGTATTGATTAAAAAGACGTGAAAAGATCTGCGATTACACAAACCCATATGCAACAGGGATCAATATACTATGTGTTGTGACACATTTATCCCCTCACCTTGATTATCTGCAATTTGTGAAATAGTAACCTGTGTGTTGGTTCGTTCTTGGCAGTAAAATATCTGTTCGTTTCACGCACCAACATGTCTTGGTCACCCAATACTTTGTCAGCGGTAGGGAATTATTCATTCCTTTGGTCATTACCTCAAGTGAAGATGAGCAGCTTAAAAGCCGTGTCGTTTTGGAAATGCCTTGACCTAGTATTCCGGCCATGACAATTTTGCCTTTGTCAAAGCCACTAAAATATATCTTCCTTCTTGACCATTGCTGCAGCATTCAATATATGAAAATAAAATACTTGAGGTCACCTTACACAGACACTATCATGTGAAGTTGTTATGCGACAGTAGCTGTCATTCTTGCCTCATACCATTGTAATAGTATTTTTTACATATATATATATATATATATATATATATATATATATATATATATATATATATATAAACTCTGTTCCTTTTCCGCCACCTAAATTTCATTACTTGTTTCACCTTAGTCTAACGACTTTCGTACCCATTCGCCCATCAAAGACACCTCTGTCTACGGACACTGACGTCAGCCCAAACTGACAAGTAATTGTTTTGATAATCATTTCTTGCAATATTCTTCATTGCAGGGTGCCAAAGATGCGTCGCCACAGCAGATTTCTCTGAATAAATAAGCAAGTCAGAGTTTTTTCATACCCTGACTCCTAAACCAAAATGCGCTTGCTTTGCCTAACGAACTGAGAAAGGACGAGCATAAGCTATATTAATATTCAGAGAAAACCGTTACATTGTGCGCACATACATGAACTCATATCAATATAATACTTTCATTTTGTTTTGTTTTTAATCATTTCACTTCAAACAAGGCAATAATGCCACTAAAATGGAAAAGGTTACTTGGATTGAAAGAAAATGAGAAGATTTTATTCAGAAGAAAGTAGAATAAAAGAGCAGATTTCAAGAAGAGAGAGACGGGCGATTGACGTTGTATTTAAAATTTTAGAGAAAGTGGATGGCAGCAAAGCAAGAAACTAGAAGAGAGCTCTATAAACGAGAAGTGCTAGAAAAGAAACTATCAGAATAGAACATATGGTTGCATCTAGCTAGTTCAACAGTAAAACAGTGAGACCTAATTGCCAGTCTAGTATTACGGTTAAATTCATGTTGTCGTGGAGACAAGGAGGAGACTTCATTAGAACAATTGCCATGAAAATATTTATAGAAAAATAGTGAATTTCACAGTCTATGTATGGCTAGCCGCTCCTATCCGAGTATGCTGTCTACTAAGGAGTCTATCCCATCCTGTAGCATATATTTGTATTTATTCAACACACACACAACCTGCCTTTGGTTTACACTATTTTGTATCGTAAATAGGAAAGGTTGATACATTTATAGAAAGTAAGAAGTATTTTATTTCTCAGAATAATATGGTACACGATAGAGAACATAGACGAATGTAATAAATAATCGTTAACTACTCTCCCTCGGTAAGAGGGGATGCTGTTTAAATAGTCTTAGACCGCTTCATTTTGTGGGGTGTTCAGCTACTCTACAACACACTGCAACTATGCTATGCATTATCTGACTTGATCAACAGCCAGAAGAAAGCTCGTGCTCAAAACCCTCGGTCACGATGACTTGTAACTTCGTGCTAGCACAACCGTCGACAGCTCTCAAATACATCTGTCTACCCACTTTCATACAAAAGGCTGGGGTGAACCAGTGGTATGGTTTTCGGGCACTTTTCGAAGGTACCGCACGGTGGGATCGCCTCCACCAGGTCGATAACATCAAAAAGTCACCTTCCTCACAAATCGACCATGGTCTCATGGTCGGAAAGCGAACATTGTAATCATATCTTACAAATCGAAGCTTACAGCACAATGAATTAATATTAGTGTACTATATGTAAATACGGTTGTTGTTAGTTCGTATTGATAATTCAATTACAGATCTGGGTAGAAAGGATTTAAACGAAGGACATACGTTGGATCGATTATGAAACACAGACAGCGGGCGGTAAAGGAAATCAAGACAAAATGCGCAACCCAGTTGATTAAAGTATTCTTTTAATCTTTCCTCAGATTCTTAGTTTTGCTTTCTTTATCCTTTTCCCTCACTCTCCTTATAAGAATGACATCTACATAACTTCTACATACTAATTCCATCACTAGTTAAACTAATGCTACAGGAAATATTGAGTGATTGATTCATTTTCTACGGCTTATCAATCCTTTGCGGGTTATTCAAAGAAAATATTTTTAGATTATAAGAATCTTTTGGAGGGGAGATAATAATGATTTAGGGATAAAAGTCTTACTAATTAACCCATATTCGGAGGGAGAAGACGTGGATTCATACCTTTCTCAAGGGTATTTGCACCTAAGTGAATATAACAAAGCTGACTAGAATTCGCAACTCGGATCTTCAATTTCCAGTTCCGAGCCATTATCCATTGCACCATCTGCTCATCCAAGCT